TGCCCAAAATTGGTCTTGGTCTTGCACTTTGCAAGACCAAGACCAAGGCCGCCTAACTGTTGCAAGACTGGTAAGACCAGGACTGGTATAAAAAAATCGATTTTATTAAATGAAAATTAAGGGAAAATAGATATTAATACTCGACAATTTTAGTTACTATATGTTAATAATTGGTATAACCAATATAATTTTTCATTTAACTCCTATAATTTTTCATTCGGGGTTAGTTAGATTTCTTCTTTGCGAGACTCTTGAGTAAGACCAAGACATTTGGGCAACACTAACCCTGAGATATAACTTCAGTTAAACATAAGAAAAATAAATTCATAAATGGTTCACTTAGAAAAAAATATAAAATAACCGATAAATCTTCTAATAATAGTAAGTATACTGTCTGGCTTTCCATAAATGATATTATGTTTTTTTACTAAGATCTTCGCAACTATTACATTCTTAACGAAGAGTTATGAACTTTTTTTTTTTCAATAATTCAGTTGATCCGAAAACGTGTAAAACAAGTATAACTGAAAATTATTTTTTACTAATTAATAAACTTCAATCAGTGAAGCAAACAAAATCACTGAGGTAGTTTAATCACGTTCCTGTCTTTTTTTTGGGAGGGGAGGGAGGGGGGAGAATTTAACATTCAAAGTAATTTTATATTATGTTCGTGGTCTATTAAAAAAATATTGCATCTGAAAAATTAACAATGAGTTCTAAATATATTTCTTGCTAGTGTTTTGAGAAAAATGTGGTAAATAAGTTTTCAAAGTACTGTAAATAGTTGTGTTATCTTTGTAACAACCTTTGTTGTGTTTGTATTTCTGGGGAGCCTGAGGAGAATATTTAAAGTTCATAATTTGGAATTTGAATGAATTTAATAAAAAAAATGTCAGTAGGCATGGACGATAGTATATATATATATATATATATATATATATATATATATATATATATATATATATATATATATATTCCTTTGTTCCACATTCTTCAGACTTCTATTTCGGTCGACACAAAAGCCTTGGTTAAATAACTGATGCTAATGAGGGTGGAGAGAAGGGTAAGCGATCGGTAGAGCACTTAAATGTCACCTGTGTGGGCCCAATTAGGAGAGGAAAGGAGAAGAAAAAGGGTTCTAAGTGCCATTCAGTTGGCTGACCTTCCGTATTTTTCCCTGTGGTCACTGACCCTTGGGCGGCCAAAGGTTTTTGAACCCTTATTACAGACCCTTATGCCCAGGCTTTTGCAGAATCTGTCAGTCTCGTCTGAAAGATTTATCACCTTGTTTGTGCAGAAATACTGCTTTACAACTTTTAAAATTAAAATTGCCTACCTCTGTCAGAGGAATTTTGTTTTTCATTACACTAAATTTATAGATATCCTTCTGTACACGATATTTAGAGACAGAAATATATATATATATTTTTTTTTGGTTGGCGCTACAGGCCATGAAGATCTTTGTCCGCGAGATGTGGTATCCTAGATCACATCCCGATTCCCGATTTAAGTACACGGGGGTAGGATCATCAGTCCTACGCCCGGTTGGTGTGAGTTGCCTCCAGTAATCTGACGGGACTCACATGCCTGGGGGTATCTCCGGCAGCGTGACTTTCCTGATGGACGGTCACCCATCCAAGTGCTAAACAAGCTCGGCGTTGCTTAACTAATGCAAGCGCCTTAGTACCGCAGAGCTATCCCAGCCCCCATATATATATAATAAAAATTACTTCTAAAATTGAGCATCAAAACATACTGGTTTGTAGAATTAGAACTAGAATATCCTTGACCGGAAAAGCTCTTAATCTTTAATCTGCAAACTAGAAGGCGTTTGAAAAGAGGATTGTCCCTTCTTAGATTTATCTACCAGAAAACTGTTGTGCCATTTAACTTCCTGTGGAAAGGAATCAGCTACTGAGTTTGGCGGGATCTATTACTAAAATAAGCACAAAGCTAGAAAATAGACCTAAGGTAATTATGTTATTAATGGAAAAATCCAAACTACCATGAACCTTTAAACACACTGGTGAACAATTAACTTGTCAACGTTTCGCCTATTAAGTCATGAATAAAGATTTAAGAAAATTAAATTATTATTGCCGTAGACGTCTCACGAAGCCACCCAAATGTATATACTGTCCAAAAAAAAAAGATTTTTTTTTCTTTTCATCTTATTCTTTGTTCTTTGTGCATGTATGAGATTTTGGGTATTCTACCCTGATGGTGCCTGAATTGACGAAACTTTGGCAAGTTAACTATTAGAATATGTGTTTGGAGGTTCATGGCTTTGTTTTTTGGATTTTTCAATGAATAGCGGAATCTATTGTGTAGAGATCCTCCATCTTTATATGTTCTGGCCTAGCTAGCTGGCCTAAATACTAGTTCAAGAAAGATTTATTCCTAAATGAAGTCAATGCCAAAACAATCTTGCAAGTCCGTAAACTTTTGAAAAGAAGATTATTACCTGATCTTCTTAAATTAAGAAGTCCCTAATAAATTTTCTACCACAGGTTTCATGTCAGTTTATAAATCCCACGAAGCTTAGTTTACCTACTTATATTATTGTAGATATAATAAATATTATATTATATGACCAAACGTAGCTTATATTATAATGGTTATGAAATAAACCATGAATAGTTTACTGCTTATATATTTAAGAAAGTTGTGTTCCTAGATCCTCCTCAATCCTAAATGAAGTTCATGCCAGTAATCTTCATTCTCCAAATAATTTAAAAATTTGATCGTCTCCTAATCTTACATTTAAAAGTTCCAAAAGAATTGTCTAGTGGAGAGCTGTTACAACAATGATTTACTTGCTTATAGTAAGTAAGATATAATGCAGATTGTGTTATTCACAGATATATACCAAAATTCAGCTTATTTAAAAAAAAAAAAACTACATCAAGACCTGCTTGTAGATTTAGTTGAAGAAAAATGTATTCCTAAATAAAATCCATACCAGTGCAAACTGGCTAGTATGATATCTCGAAAACGAGACAATCTTTGACGAGAGAAAACGACGAAAAGAAGATTGTAACGTGATCATATTAAATTTATAAGCCTCAAAAAAAATTGTCAAATAGAGATATGTTACGCCATTCAATATATCATACGAAACATTATTTACTTTCTTATAGTGTTGCAATTTTGAATCGAAAAAAAATTCTTTTATTTTAAAAATGTTTCGCCATAACAGGATTTTTTTGTCGATAGTTGTCCCCTTTTTTTGGAATTAGAACTTTTCCCAAGCAACCTTTTATGTAAATGTTTTACAGAACTTTTATTTTTAAATCAGATTAAATCAAATTTAAAAGTTTTGTCGAGTTCGCTTAAAATTCGCTAAAAAAAAAAAAAAACTTGTATTCATAGTTTCTCAAACAAACGATACATAAGAATCATGTGTAATTCATTTTAGACAAATTATAACTCTAATCTAAGCCATATTGCTGTTTATTTTTGTTTAACTGAACTTTTTGCAAGAAGTTCAATAAATTATTTTAAAAACTTTTACCATGAACTTGGAACTTTATTACAAAAAGGTTCTTTAAAAAGTTTTTAAAATGTTTCAAAAAAACTTTTAGAATGGAACGTTTAAAAAAAAAGTTTCAACCTCTTTTCAAAAGAATTGTCTAATAGAGAGCTGTAATACCATTTGATAAACCACGCAAAACTTCATTTACTTACTTAATGTTGTAGATAAATGAAGAATTATATAATTCACAGTATTATCCCCATAACATTATTCACAGATATATTCCCAAATGAATATCATTTAAAAAAATTAACCATTAAGACTCGCTTGCGGATTTAATTCAATAAAGATTTATTCCTAAATAAAGTTCATGCCAAAACTATAATCTTCAAACTGGAAGGCGTTCGAAAAGAAGTTTGTTAACTGATCTATTGTGCCAATTAATAAATCACACAAAATTTATATTATTCTATATGTAGTGAATATTATATTTTGTATTCATATTCCCAAATGAATATCATTTAAAAAAATTAACCATTAAGACTCGCTTGTGGATTTAATTCAATAAAGATTTATTCCTAAATAAAGTTCATGCCAAAACTATAATCTTCAAACTGGAAGGCGTTTGAAAAGAAGTTTGTTAACTGATCTATTGTGCCAATTAATAAATCACACAAAACTTCATATACCTACTTATATTATTCTATATGTAGTGAATATTATATTTTGCATTTATATATACTCAATCGCTACTTATTGTATTAATGCTATTGAACCATTAAGACCTCAATGCTTGTAGATTTAGTTAAAGAAATACTTATTCTTATAAAGTCCGGTAGTCTCCATATTCCAAACCATATAATAAGAAGATTGTTTTCTAATCTTCTTACAGTTGAAAGTCTCTGGAAATTTACCGGAATTGCTTCTCCAGCTAGTAAGTCACATAATCTAATTAAATGAATCAAATATTTATTTTTAAAAAACAAAGACAACCTTGGTTTTATCTAGTTGGTGGTTTTATTAATCTGACTGATCCCCGATTATAGGATTTTCTATATTTTATCAATAAACAATATTAATTTTGTACGAACGTGTTTGCAACATTTTATAAAATATTATTACTATCTCAGGAGTTGTTTATTTTCATTTGAACCATTATTTTTAAAAATTTAATTTATTTAGAAAATTCTTGATTCGAATGTTTTCATAGTTTTTAACTTTAGTCATTCCAGAATTTTAAACTTTATTTTAAGCCTATATTTCATATGTAAAGGTTAGTTTTAAATTCATGCTAGAGAGATAATTCAACTGCTTGGATCTCGTAACGGATTAAATTTAAGCTTTTGATAAAAAGAAATAATAATAATTGATATAATAAACAAGCAAATTGCTCCTAATTATCGAAATTGGGAAGAAATAATTATGGCTGACATAACTTGGATATAGCGATAGTCATTTACCGATTCGTTATTGTCTCTCACAGCGTGGTTTCAAACATAATTTTTATATAACCTACCAACATAGAGTTTTTTGTTTTTAACAAAATATTTAAAATTTTAGTACTAGTGTACACAAAGAATTTTGTAAGACGCCTTAAAATTGTTTATATAGTTGACTTGGGACCCAAAAATATACCTGTGTACACACTACCTGAGTAAATTGCCCTGGGAAACCCTAGATGGTGGGGGTTAGCAGTACCCTCTCGTCCCCTCCCTCCCAGTTTCTCCTCACAACCTCAGTCTGCTTCCAGCAGTCATGACATGCTAGTCTTGTGCTCGCAGTGCTCTAGTTATAAGACTGTGTCTAGTTCGTCTAGTTCGTTTTCCCTGGTCACTGGTTACTTCTGTTAGCTCGCCTAGCAGTGTGCCAAGAATATACCTTCAAAGGACTTTCGCTACAAATGGATTATCTTATGAGTGCAGCTATGAACTCAGACGGTTATTTGGCAAGGTATGTCAATTATACAATCAAATTTATTTACATTTGTGTATATATTTCTAAAATATCTATTTTTTAAAATAACTTAATGCATACTTAAAAAAAAAAAATGTCAACGTTTCCGACAATAGAGGTTACAAACTGGTTATCAATGTTTTTTTTATTGAATAATTTGACAGGTTATCAAAATACATTTCTGTTATTAAACTGCCCTTATTGATTATTATTAAATCTGAGTTATCCGCGTTTTATTTTGAATTGAAGTAAATAACCAAATAGCGACCATTTTTATAAATCACATGTGTTTGAATATTCATCTTTGTTCTATCACCAACATATTATCAATGATCATATGTTCATGATTTAAAAAATTACGTGGGTTAATGACATATTTTAATTTCATATTCGCTATATATTGTATTACAGACGAAGTATGTTGTACTTTCAAAAATAAGGAAGATAAATCAGGAATTAAACGTTAGGCGTTGTTATTATTTTTTACGAATTATAAAACTAAGCATGCTAAAATTTCATCACTCTAATCACATGTAAAAAAAACATATGTTTTTATGCTAATAATAGATTAAAACGTTTTAGCTGCTCTGATACAGTGTTTGTATATATGTATACATTTGAAAAGATTTACCAGTTCATTCTCATTGTTTCCAATTATAATAATAAGTAACAATACTTCCAGAATTAATAGTATTAGTATGTTTGTGTAGATGTGCATATTTCTATTTAAAATGTGTGTTGTGTTTATGAATTTAATAATGTGTTTTTTGTTTTAACTTGTGCGTAGTAATTCAGAAATTTTTTCATTACTTATTTTCTGCTTATGTTTTTATTGATTCTTGTATTTTTTCGTAATCGATCTGAATATTTATTTTCGAAAACTTTAATTTTTGAAACGAGATATTTAAAAAGCAAATGAAGTATTAAATACTTAAATAATCTAGGAATGTACGTAGTTTAAAAATTCATCCCACTTAAAATATAAAAGTACACATGTCTTTGGACTGATTGCCACCTGTTTTAAAAACAAAAAAAATTATTATTGACACCTTGTATGACTTAAAAATTTACTCCTTATGAAACAGAAATTATTTTGACTATTTACTGGCCTATTTACATAAACTAAAGCTTTATAATATGTTTTAGTGAGTCCTATTATCTTAGTAAATAAGATTAAAGGATTTCTGTTTTTATCTGTTTAGTAATATTTTTCAAAAGTTGACATTTCTCTTATAATTAATAATGTTTAAACCTTATTAAAAGAAAAACGTACGATTATTACATTTTATTCTTAATTACATGTAATTACTTGATTGCTAATATAATCGCTACTTTTTGTGGTTAATTATTTAATAGAAAATTAGATATTTCATTTAAATTCTATTTTAATTTAAATGATAGTAATTCAGTAGATTCTTAGACCAAGAAAAAACTGTCTAGTCTTAAATTGAATGTGGTTTATTCTATAAAATTTACCATTTCATATGTCTTATTAATTACTAGGGAAATGACGCTACTGTCAAGCTGTCATTTTTTATTTAACAGATCGGAAGAGGTTTCTCATGTAATATAGTTATTTATTTTTTAAAAATTGATCATAATAATGTTTTATGAAAATTTAATAAAACATTTAAAGTCCGTCAAAATCGATAGGCAAAAAAATATAAATATTTTATCAAAAAAATTGTAATTTATTAACAGATTTATTGGATTTTCTTTTTTTAAATTATTATTGTATTTATTATTTTTTTTCATTATTAGAGAATCTAAGAATTACGCCAGACTAAAAAATGTAAACATGAAACTCTAAATGTAATATGAAATATTTCATTTATTGTATTCCTTGAAATTATAACACCATATGCAAATTTTGAAAATAAATTATGCAATTAGAATTATCATTTTCTTTATAAATAATCGAAACTTTCTTAAGTTATATCCTGTTTAAAAATAATATATTTTTTAAAATTAAAATCTACAAAATATATTTTATTTACTTCATTATATGGAAAAAATAGGTTATAATTATTAAATGAAATTATTAGGATTTCAAGTACACATGACGAACACAGAAAACAAAACAAAATGTAGAGTTTTGAGAATTAATTATATAGGTATCGGTAAATTAAGTTTTCTTATAGATAAATTACACGTTTTGTTTCTAAACTCAATATTTGGCTAGAAACGCGGTTTAATTGGCAACTATTATTTTATTTAATTACTTATCTAATTTTTAAAAAAATTAATCTTTTTCCTCACAAAAGTAGAATAAAAATAAAAATTAAACATTAAAATTATATTTTCATTTTAAACTGCATTCATAGTATAATTATAATAAATAATAATAATAATATTTCTTAAAAACGGAATTTCAGATGTATTATCACCAACGTTATCTTTACTAACGAACCTATTCTTTAGTAAAGTTAAATAAATATAACAAAACTAAATTATCAAAAAATACAATTTTTTAATTTTATAACCACTTTATTTTCCTCATGAACATAAAAATCTCAATTATATTAAAAGAATATTATGATTTTAAATATTGCATGATTTATTCTTGTTGCAACTATCGGATTTTGCAAAATACCATTTTTCCAGCAGTTTTAAACAAAATCAGCGTAGTTTTTCATTTTTTTTTTTTTTTACAAATTTAATTTAATTTGTGATAATTAAAACATAATTAGAGATATCGCTTCTGTTAGTGCAAAAGGTAGTATGTAAAAATTGAGGTTTTTAAAAAAGGAAAAAAAAACTGAGTATTTCTTTATGATTCATTAGTATAATGTCATATTTTATTTCGATTAAATAGAAATGACATAAAAAATTGTTATATACGACCTTTTGCACTTACAATAGAGATATGTGTTTTTAAATCGAAAAACAATGAACCCCTGTTGCATGCAATTTGGTATCACTGTCTTTGTAAAACAAGGTGAGCATTTTTATATAATTATATTATATTATAATGTATTTATTGTATGTATTTTTTATATTTTTTTGGAACCATTAACATGTTAATATGAAATTACAGCAAACACTACGACTCACCTTTTTGATTAATTTCATATTATACTGCTTTTTCTTTTAAGCCCAACACAATTATTTTAATTTGTATAAATAAAGTGACAAGTTGGACTAATAATATGTTTTAAATAGACTGAAAAATAGTAGTTATTAATGCTAAGGATAGCTCTAAAAAAAAAAAAAAGAAAAAGAAATACATGATGAAGATGTCTTCATGCGAAAATACATAATAATACGTTCTAAATCGTTTGTTTAGACGGGATAAGAGCCGGGAAGGGTTAAAAAGCTATTAAACGCTACTTGTTGAAAGATAAAGGTCATGTGTTTTCTACAATCGGGATAAGACCCGCTTAGGAATAGGAAGAAAAGATTACTGTTAAGTAAAAGAAAAAGGCGCTTTTAGAGGAAGTTGAGGGACACACAATGGGCCATCATTAGGCTGATGTAAGCCCCTCAGGATAATTCTCGAGATCCGTCATAATGCCTTGATCCGATTTACCTGTACTGCGGGGCATCAATATCTTCACTCATGATGGCCTCTTCTCTGCCAACTTTTTGAAAGGTTTCGTCAAGAGTCTCGGATATATGTTACTTCAATTATATTTTTTTTATCTTATGCACAATATTATTCTTATCGAACCTTCCGATACTCTAGCCCATGTATTTTTTATTTATTTTTATATATAAATATTTATAAACTATATAGCATTCGCACTTGAGAAAATGGCATTAATATTTCTATACAATGCTATTTTTTCCTTTTATTTTAATTTTTTTTATTTTACAAAAAAATAAAATTATAATTTTTTTTATAGAAATTATTAACACTTTTATAATACTGTAATGAGAAGTAAAATATATTTAAATAGTAAAATATATTTAAATCTAAATGGACAATTATTTATTCACGTTAGTAATATTGTTGGAATAATAAAAATAATACAGGAATGCGATATCGATAAAATTGGTTGGAAATATGACCTTCCTTTGGCAAAGTAAACTTAATATTAATAAAAGAAAGAAATTTGTATTATATAAATTTTCAATTTTAATTTATACTTAATTTTTATTTTATATAAAAGTTGTTGCGATAAAACTTATTAAAATTTAAATACATATAACACTAAAACACTAGCAGATCCAGGATTTAATTTTGGGGGGGGCTTCAGCCCGAAACCTTCTTTTTTCATAAAAATAACGATAATTACTTTGGAAAAACAGAAAGAAACTAAGTACCTATATGAAATGGTGTTTAAGGGATTCCTTAAGTCCTTTTAAATGTAATTAAACGAACAATAATACTTTAAGAGGTATTTTTAAAATTTTTTTTTCCATAAAATATGGTTGTATTTGTCCATTTTGGGAGGGGCTTCAGCCCGAAAGCCCCCCGTAGATCCGCCCGTGCACTAAAATATTATATAATTTATGATTTTAGACAGTAATATACACCCATATTAATTAATATATAAAACTGTTTTTTTTTATATATTCAAACATATCTTTAATGAAATAAAAAAAAATTTAAATCAATAATAATTTACATTATTATTTGTCATTCATTTGTTCTATTATTTTACATCGCTTTATATTTGTTTGATTTTTAAAATTATCTACTTTTTCAAAATTTTAATTTTATGTATATTTTTTTTCATTAGTCTTGTTTGTACAACACTTTTACTATTTCTTCTCTTTAACTACAATTAGATAAACCTAACTATTCTTGTCGTGTATGGATATAAAAACTTTAATCACATTAAATTGATTTGTTTTTTAATTAATTAAAGCTATAAATGTACAATTATTTATTCACGTTAGTAATATTGTTGGCACAATAAAAATAATAAAGGAATGCGATATTGATAAAAGTGGTTGGGGATATAATAACCTTCCTTTCGCAAAGTAAATTTAATATTAATAAAAGAAAGAAATTTATATTATATAAATTTTCAATTTTAATTTATAATTAA